GGCAGTGGTAGGGTTGATTGAGGTTATGAAGGGGGGGTGAAATTTTTTTCACGTGAAGGTTTATAGTAAACTAATAAGGAAATAGTGAAGGCGCGTATAAGAGAGATTAGTTCTATAAACTAAACCTTTAATATAAACGTATTATTAATTCTATAAACTTAATCTCTAGTATAAANTGAAATTTTTTTCACGTGAAGGTTTATAGTAAACTAATAAGGAAATAGTGAAGGCGCGTATAAGAGAGATTAGTTCTATAAACTAAACCTTTAATATAAACGTATTATTAATTCTATAAACTTAATCTCTAGTATAAAGTAGTAGTTAATTTATACTATTAAAAGTGTGACGGTTCTCACCGCCACCATGCCTCAAACCAGCCCCTGGCTGGCACCCGTCGGCCGCCGTGCTTCCCGAGCCCGGCTCGGTTAGCTATAACCCTTGGTACCCCTCCTGTATATAAGAGCTTCCAGCTCCTGGACTTCTGTCCTTTCTTCTCTTCTCTCTTTAGCTTAGAATCTTCGAATAGACAGTTCTACGATTCCATAACCTACACCTTGGACGCTCTCTGAGCAACATCTCGTACGTGTCGTCACAAAAAGCGTTATATATTTATATTTACTTATTTTGTTCTTAGGTACTTATATCCTATTATAACGCATACTAAATTTTCTTAGCATCTTAATGTTTTATAATAGTTAAGGTAGAGGTTCAAAGTCGTATAGTATATATATTAGGCTTAATACTAGTTAGTATATATCTATAGAAAGTAAGCGTTTAGTAACTTATAAGGATTATACATATCTTTAATTTAAGTTTATACTTTAATCCTGTCCCTTATCCTTATTTAATTCTCTGTAAATAGCCTTATTTTACCTTTAATTCTAGCGCTATTATACAACCTTAACCCTAAACTACTTTACGATTTACGATTTGCGATTTCCTATAAAATACCCTCTAAAGTAACTTTTTTAATTTGCGATTTAGTCATCTGGTTTAGCAGTAGATTTAGGATGCCGTAATAAGGGAATACTTAAGGCCATTTGAAATATTTCATCAGATCATCCCACAAAAACAGCTAACACTTACGTACCTAAGGATATTAGTCTCTGTACTCGTAGGTAATACTTTATCCTAGGCAAAATAAACATAGGGTTTTCAAGGGTTTTCACCCTGTTACTAACCTTAGCTACCCTAGTAAACCTATGTTTATTGCGCCTAGGACAAAGTAAAATAGCCCAAATCTATTCTATAGATAGTAAAAGTAGATTTATAATTAAAAGTCTGAAAATTAATAATTACGTGCTCGATCAGCCCATGTCCGTTCCGTAGCTAAGTGAACCGTTACTTCTACAATCAACGAGTATAAAGTTACTCTCGAAATATGACGAAGAGAATCATGCTTCTTCTCGTGCCAGATACCAAGACGCGCTATCCCCATTTTATCCACAAAAAGGTTTAAAGATAATTGTGGAAGCTGCTGATCAGGGGGTTTACGAAGTAAGAATGAACAAAATTTTGCCGCGATATTAAGTAACTTGAAACGATATGAGGTTGCCTATCAAACGTAAGCGAGTGGGCTTTCGATAGCAACACTTTTGAAATTATTTCAAGTTTCGAGTTTCTCTTTTCCCTCCTCCTGATGCTAGAGTTTTCCACGCGCTGGGAGAAGTAGAATGAAGCGGGGTGAGTTGGAAGTAATAGCTGTTTTCGTAGCGTACGTCATAACTCCATATTTCAACCTAGTATAAGGCAGCTCATATGGGCAAAGTTGAAAATGGGGAATATCATACAGTTATAAGCAGACATTTCGGTAAGGAGGCTGGGAAAGTAAGGAATCAAACGAATAGATTTCATGAAATCTTTTCTGGTTGTTCTCCTTCATAATTGCAAGTATCACAATACAATTTATAAGTGTTTTCATAGGAATACTGTGGCGGCATACTTGGAAGGTTTTTGCCAGAGTAGCTACACTGGAGCTTTATAATGCATTGGAACAACACAGGAGTGCACGAGGGTTCGATATGAAGTCAATCTACTATTTGACCGTAAGACCGACCGAGCAAGCGAGAAAGTGAAGACTGTAATGATATTTGAGCGAAACTACAGAAAGCTAGACAATCCTTTTTGTAAGTATATATATATTTACATACAACTTCATTCCCTTTTTTTTGCTCCAGCCCAGACGAAGAAAGAGATCTGGAGGCAGGCACATGTGTTAAGAAAGGTTTCCTCACTCATAGGTCTTGACCATATGAAGTTCAAAGTCCTGAAAAAATAATAAAGTGGAGCGAATGAGAAGACATCTAAAAGTCCACCGCAAAGATGAAATGGATAACCAGGATATGGATAAATTCCAAACGACAGCAAATTGTATTTCGACAATGAGCGTTATGGCAATTAGCAATGACTGATTTGCTTGAAGGGAGTTTCATTCATAGTAAGTGTAGTCCTCGACTATGGTTTTGAGTCGTGATTTGATTTGATTTGAGAGTCTGGTGAGTATTGTCGTCGGTCTTCGCAGATTCCTCCTCACAATGGTCGCCGCAAGGTGCATGTTTTGGAGGACTAATCTAGGGCCTCTCGGAGTACAGAAGTACTCGAGGGATAATTCAGCTAATGCTACCTTGTAATTCGTCAGCAACACTGCCGACATGAGCTTGTTCTCTCGATCTAGTCGTGCCATAGTTGCTACGAATCTCGCACCCTTTTCTACCGTTTCCCCTTAGTATGCAATTCTCTCGATAGAATGCGAATATACTATGTTCGTAATGCTGGTAGAACCCAACCACAGGTCCACTTTCCAGTGCTTTTGGACTTTCACCTTTTCACCTCTTGTTTCTAGGAATGGCACATTGAAAATGTATGTTTTACATGACTTGAGAGAAGGAAGGTTATCCAAAAAGATAATTACAGAAGTTGAAGTGAAGATGTAAATTGATAAGTGGCAGGAGATTCAAGTTGCTAAGGTCACCTTGGCACTATCTTCTTGCTAATATTACTAGCCTCAATAATTAACCATTACTGCACAAAGCTGTGGAGCCTTTCTCATAATACAAAGGTTTCTTAGTTCGTTTGTTTTGCGTAACATCAGACAGAAAGAGTCCACTGACTCTACTTATACCCCTTTTTCATATCTTCGCTACCAGTCTAACTTTGTATCCACAAGATAAAATGCCACAACGATTCAAAGCACCTAAGTATAGCAAGCGATGACCCCTTCAGTATATAACCTCTCAGCAAAACAACCAATGTATTCTCGACAGTCCGAGGATAGCTTCCACCATAGCACAACACCCCAAAAGACTACCCTGAGATAATCGCTAAGTCTCTAACAATGTAGCATTCAAAGCCCATAAAACCCCAACAACGAGCCCAGTAATCAACTATCAGAGCACCTGGTTCTAGGAGTGAACAGACATATACTCCTTCAATAAAATCTCCGCGAGGTTATTATTGCAATGATGGATACGACGACAGCTTGCACATCAGGTCCCGTACACTTTTTCACTGGACCCAGATATTGCTCAAAAATGATTATAGTACTGCCAAAAAAGAGGGATTTCACTGTCGAAATTTTCTCTGCCGTCGAATTCCATTTATCCTGTCAGGGGATTATGGTATAAAGAAGATATACTCTACAAACACATTCCCGTCCGTCATCCCTGCTCTTCGTACTCTCGGGTGTCATCAATAGCTTCATATATGATATAGTTAACTTTGCAGTCCAATCCTGGGCCGGCAGCAGAGGGAGAAGTGACGAAGGATAGTGCGAATACCGGTACCGAACGATATTTCATAGACGTGGAGCCTGGGTACGTGGTTCTAAGGTGTGGGATTTAGGAGGATTCTAGTGCACGTGGGGTGTGGAGGTAATTTATATGTCTTGACTTTTGCTGCTGGATCTGGGGAGAAAGTGTTGAGATGGTAGCTTGGTTTATAGGCTTTTTTGATTATGAGTAGGTCTAGAGATGGGTGTCTTCAATATAAGCACCAAAGCATCAAATAAATCCGATGATCTCACCACTTATTAATCACTTACGCAAAGTAATCATATAGAGCTAACGAACAGGATGAATTTCACTCTATCAAAACATCAAACAACTTGCCCACTGAGTAGATTCCCTGCCTATACTCATATATCACCTAAATCCAACTTCAAGCCCTCATACAGAAGAACTACCCAGACACACAGAAACACCCAAACCCAGAACCCACAGAGCCTCAAGCCAGACAAACCCCCCAAGCCAAAACCAACCAGCCATCAATACAACGCCCTGTTCGCAGTATTCCCAACCCACGCAACGAGGAAACGGCAGCAACGGGCCATACCATATCAGCATATGTAGCCCTTCACTGACCAGAAAACGCAACAGCATCAGCGCTCACCCTACTTATTTATCGATTTTCTGAAAGCCATCATAAAACCCCTTTCTATTCAATCCTCACAATCCCCATTCATCTCACCATTCCTGCCTACCTCACCATCTTCCATGCAACTCACCATCTCCGTGATCCACAAACCCAGCAACACACAGAAATCAGACGTCTGTCTTCCGACAACAACCAGCAAATCGACGGTAAATCTCATCTCGGTTTCCACTACTTATATATGGTAGTGCGAACGGTGGGACAGAGAATGTCGGTGGAATATAGTACTGTATGATTTTGTTATAAGATACACTTGTGAATCTCGCAGGAACTGGGTAGATGTTGGTGAAAGAATGGAACTCCCGTCTCTTTATCTCCGATTCTTCGAGGTTAGATGGCATTAGGAAGCAAGTAAAAGGTCAAGAAGACTTATAAGGAGTTTTTTGGGAGGGATAATCAAGGCCACGTCACAGGTCCTCGTTATTGGGTTTTAGCTGAGAACTGCCGCGGCTCATTTTCAGTTTTGGTATTGTGATTTCTTTTTATTTTTGTACTGTACATACAGGCAAGTTCCCTTTAGTTGTGCCTACCATCTGTAGTCAATTGAACCCCCAACTCCATATGTTCGCCAGTCCAGCCCAGCCCAGCCCAGCCTATCCGTCGCCAATGCACCATGAAAGCAAGAACAAGCAAAGTCAGCAAGAGGAAATAAAGTACATCTAGGCAGTTCCTCTAGGCTTAGCCTTCGCCTGCTTCTTCTCCTTCTTTTCTTCCTTGAGCTTCTTTTTCTTCTCCTCATTCTTTTCGTCATTCTTTCGCTTCAAGGTTTTGAGTTCCTCATCTGTCTTTGGAATCGGCTTGAAGAAACCTTCCAATCTAGCTTGTTGTCCCGACTTCAAGTTCTTTTGTAATCTCGCGGCTCCATTTCGTACTCTGTCCTCGGAAAAGCCCTTCTCTGTGACGAGGAATTGGACGAGTCCGTCGATATCTGGTTGTTCCCATTTGAAGTCGCAATCATCGTGGTCGGCTGGTCGTACATCAGGCTTGAAGAAAAGATCTCGCGCATCGGCATATGGCCAATCTTCTGGAATTGCGAACTTCTTAGTCTTCTGAGCGAATTCGACAAAGTTTTCAAGATTCTTGTGTTCGCGGATAAGCTTTAGTGCTGTATTAGGACCGACTTTGGGAACGGGATCGAGGTAATCGCAGCCTAGAAGAATACAGAGATCGACGAACTGTAATTAATTAGTTTTGTTCTTCATAGGCCTGTAAAGTAGTCTACCTGTTCTCGATCCATGCCTAATCCTGCCATGACCTTATCCAAGAAAATCTCTTGAATTGGTTCCTTACGCTGTTCACTGAAGGTCAGATGTCTAAGCAAGACGGGAGAATCAAAGCACAAAGTATCCATATCCTCACTCGCAGCAGCATAAACCTTGCCAGCTCTTGCCAAAGTCGCACATTGCGCCTCAGCTTCTGTTGGTGCAATAATAAATGGAATACCCATAAGCTTCAGGAGTCTTTGACACTCGGCATTGTGTTCTCTAGTAACTCGGACGGTTCTTCGGGAGAATTTCTCGACATCTTCTGCGGTACCCGTCTCCTTTGCCTCCTCCAATCCTTCAGCAGCCGTCGCCTTTCGTTGAAAACGTTTTGCAAGCTCTCCGGATTTAAGCTTTGGGGGGGCGCCATCGAATACATAGACTGGCTTGATTCCGTTATCGACGATTCGTAGTGTGCGATAGAACATGCCCATTAGGTGCGAGGTAGTTTCGCCATCTTCGTTTGTCAACATTTCTCCCCCCGATCGAACGGCGATGAGGAAACTGTAGATGCTCATGGACCTGTGAAAATGTCAGCGGGTTATTGAAGTCGTAGTATGGCGATTGCATACGCATCCTATTAAAAATGTCAGAAGATGGATCAGGAAGGTAGGTGACGCAGAGACTTACAATTGCTACTTTTCGACCGAATTGATTCTTAATGTCACCCTCCTTGTAAGAGTCGGGCGCCTCATCCTTTATGATGGAGAATAACTGCTTGATACCCATCTTGAGAGCGGAATTTGGTCAGGTTTGCTGTGTTGATGTTAGGTTGCAGAATTCGAAAGAGGTGAAGTTGAAGTTGGAGCGACGCGATTATCTAGGTTGCGGCGCGTTCACTTCCGCAGAACTCGCGTTGAGTGGTGCAGGGGTGGAGGAGCCGATTGTATTGACAAGTACCGACAGGATGCAATGATCTCCCAGTACCCTTCATTTTCGACATCTCCATTCGGGAAATCTTTCACTTGTTTGGCTAGGAATAAATCATCAACCATGGGCATCAGTTAGTACTGTACCTACTTAGGCTAGGGTCTCCCATCTTGCCCGCATTACAGTATTCCCTACCCGAACCTCGGAACAAGATCCCAAGGCGGGGCAATAAATACAGTACATACAGTGACCACCCCGACTGAAGAAATTATTTTGCCATTACCCCGCCAGGAATTGTGTATTGTAATTCTATGCAATTAGAAGCTACAGAACTCAACATGCTCAGGCCTCTACTACGAAATGTCGCAAAACAGTCGGTAGCTACAGCAGCCCGCCCTGTTGCATCAAGAGGGTTCGCAACCAGTGCCTCTGCTCCAGCACCAACTCCAGCATTCAACTGGGAGGATCCGCTGAATGCCAGAAATCTGTTGACCGAAGAGGAAATATCAATATCAGAAACAGCAGAAGCATACTGCCAAGAACGAATCCTTCCTAGGGTCCTCCGTAAGTTGCTTGCGACACGATCGCGATTTTACTAATGTTCTGCGACAGAGGCATACCGAGACGAGAACTATGACAGACAAATCTTGGAAGAAATGGGCGAACTCGGCTTACTTGGTGCAACAATACAGGGATACGACTGCGCAGGAGTCTCAAGTGTTGCCTCGGGGCTCATCACGAAAGCCGTTGAAAGAGTAGACAGTGGCTATAGATCTGCCATGTCAGTTCAATCTGCCTTGGTGATGGGTGGCATTGAAGAATTTGGAACACAAGAACAAAAGGATAAATTCCTACCAAAGATGGCCAAAGGGAAGTTACTAGGTGCCTTTGGTCTCACAGAGCCAAATCATGGTAGTGATCCAGGATCTATGGAGGCAATTGCAAAGCCACATCCAACTAAAAAGGGATACTTGTCTCTCTCGGGCTCCAAGACTTGGATTACAAACTCCCCTATAGCCGATGTATTGTTGGTCTGGGCCAAATATCAAGAGACTGGCAAAATCAGGGGTTTCTTGGTCGAAAGGTCAGAGTGCCCACCTGGTACATTGGAGACACCTGCTATCAAAGACAAGAACGGGCTCCGAGCTTCTTTGACGGGAATGATACATCTTGATGAGTGTCCTATCCCAGAAGCCAATATGTTCCCTGATGTGGAGGGTCTTACAGGTCCATTTACTTGTTTGAATGGTGCCAGATACGGTATTGCCTGGGGAGTTATGGGTGCCCTAGAGGACTGCATTGCTAGATCGAGGACATATGCTCTGGAAAGAAAGCAATTTAAAGGTAATCCAATTGCCAAATATCAGTTGGTGCAAAAGAAGTTGGCGGATGCAACCACAGACGCAACTTATGGTACCTTGGCTGCTCTCCAAGTTGGAAGATTAAAAGATCAGGGGAAAGCCACACCGGAAATGATCAGTATGATCAAGCGGCAGAATTGTGATCGTGCTTTATCGAACGCTAGGACATTACAAGAAGTTTTCGGTGGCAATGCTGTGAGTGATGAGTATGGGATTGGAAGACATGTGGCGAATTTGTTTGTAACTCAGACGTACGAGGGGCAAAGCGACATTCACAGTGAGTTGTTTTCTTATGATGTGACGCTCGAAGATTCAATGATGCTGACAAATACAAGGTCTTATTCTGGGAAGAGCCATTACTGGACTCCAGGCATTTGTGTAGAAATGAAGAGTAGAGGTAGATGGAAGGAAACACAGAACTGAATAGAGTACTTGAGTGCTTGTGTGACACGACTATAAATAAATTTGGTAGCAAAATCTGGTAACATGTATTGTCTTTCTATGAATGTGTAATCAAGTACTTTAATCTAACATCCATTGTGTAAGTTGAGACGAGCAGTCATAGACTACTAATTTCATTGTATCCAGTAACTTCACTGTGACTCTAAAAAGCCTGAGTAAGTATCAAAAACGAGACTATCCCTTTGTCCGTCTTTGGGCACGATGTTGGAACACAGACTGGCTGCAAAAGCTTAAGCTGGGATTGAATAAACGTGTGCGGGCCTTGACTAGTGTTTGCAAAATGGATCCTGAATAGAGAATGCATCAAGTAATCAATAGAAAGAATCAGGTAGAAGAGACATGATTCACTATTTATTCGCAGGTATGTAACTGCTGACATGTGTACAGTCATTCACAGGAGCTGCCCAAAGAGGGGATAGGTACTGTATTTATTATAGGGCGGTCTCGGCTCCGTGCTCGCTAAAACGGCAGGCGCAGAGATTTGGCACCGCCATTCTTACCCAGTAACGCGGACCATATTCTCATTTGAACCTCCTCATCCTCTCTCAAGCAAACTCCGACTGACCGACCAACCCAACAACTCCACACAACACATCTGGCGATTGCATCGCGGATCCTCTGTACGTCGCATACCCCTCTTTTTCTATTTGCATCCTTCTAGCGGCGTGGTCGGATGTTAGCGGCTAACGTAGAACCAACAGAACTTCTCTTTCACCCTACTGCGCCTCGACCTGAAAGCCTCAACACCACACCCATACCGACAACCACCTCTACACCTCACAAAACCGACGATATGGCGTTGAAGAGAATCAACAAGGAACTCACAGATTTGGGCCGGTATGTCTACGACTTCTCCTTCACCGCTACCCTCGAGAACGAAGTCATCGTAGTGGGGTGGGCATCACGAGCGGGGTCCCTTGCAACATCATCAAGAACTTCGAATTTGAGGCAAATACACGATGAGAAGGATCATATGGCTGACGATATCTCTATTGTAGTGACCCACCATCCTCCTGCTCTGCAGGTCCTATCGGCGATGATCTGGTACGTAAAGCTCGATACTGCTAGATGTCCTCTCAACCTGACAAAGACATCATATGGCTGGTACGTACTACGAGGAGGAGCATGCACTGACTTGGTGATTATCAATAGTTTCACTGGCAAGCTACTATCATGGGTCCCGTAAGTTGAATTTTCTTATCATATTGGTATTTAGGTGGCGGGCTTTGCCGCTGATAGATGAGGCTGAATCTCCTCGAAACTATATCATGACGAAATATTTACTGACGCAAATCTCAGTCGGACTCTCCATACTCGGGAGGTGTCTTCTTCTTAGCTATCCATTTCCCAACCGACTACCCATTCAAGCCTCCAAAGGTCAACTTCACCACCAGAATCTATCACCCAAACATCAACTCCAACGGATCTATCTGTCTAGACATTTTGCGTGATCAGTGGTCTCCTGCCTTGACAATCTCCAAAGGTAAAACAACATTCGCATAATCTCAGCTTTTATCCACCGTACTAAAGATACAATACAGTTCTCCTTTCTATCTGCTCCATGCTTACCGATCCTAACCCCGACGACCCTCTCGTTCCCGAAATTGCACATGTCTACAAGACCGATCGTTCCAGATATGAGGCAACCGCACGAGAGTGGACTCGCAAATACGCAATCTAGACACCAGGACAAATTGGCGGAAATTTTCCCTTCTCTCTCGCGTTCTCTCCGGTGGTTTTTAGCTGGCGTCACAACATGAACAATTTGGTCTGGTTTTTTGTTCCTTTTACAAATGGCAGCTGATGGGATGAGCAACGAAGGCGGCTTATTTGGGGGCAGCAGTGAAAGAGGTCCAAGAGGGGAATGGATGGGGAGGAAGATGGGTGATTTTCGTTGGGGCTGGGCGGGATGATGAGATCCATAGCATCGTTGTGTTTGGGGAGGGAAATTAGATATTCATTTGCATTCGGGCAGTTCTCTTCCTTTGGCCGCTGTCTCTCACTTTTTTTACGTTTTCCTTGCCTTACTTCCCCCATCTTTTTTTCACGAAAGCATAGGTACATTACGTTGATATTTTCGGAATCAATGAACAGCGATCTTTTTTCTCACTTGTATTTTTATAAGGTATCGTGAAGTATGCTCCTGCTGTTGGTGATTTTTTCTATTGAAAAGTAATCACTTGGTCTACGCTACCATTGCTCTTTTAGATATCTACGTCTACATGTTCTTTCTTTCTTTCTTACTCACTTTGGTATCACGAACGCCACGCAATGGTTAATACCATCGGATATCAAGTCCCATCCCATTGCTTAACAACGGAAGGAAATTTTCCTTTTTAGGTCCTTTTGGATTTCTGTGGAGTTGAAGGCTCTCTTTTCACGGTATACTAGGTAGTGTCTGATATTACTTTACTCGTTTCGTGGGGTTGGGATTGGGGATCAAGGGGAGAAGGGGTTTGTTTGTAGGTATTTGTATTTTGTATTTGGGTGGTGAGAGAGGGGGGGGATTGGTCTATATACGCTACGGTATTGAAAATTCGAAATCGGCATGCTAGGTACTGTATAAGTCTGGTACAGTACAAGGAAATCTAACTATCTTATTTTATGTTACTTGTGTTCATTGGGTGGGAGAAGGATGGATGGATTATTCTTTGAAGGATTTGGATGATTGATTGGTTGGGTTTGTTGTGTGGGGGTTTTTGGATGGAGTGGATGGAGTGGATGATAGTTTTTGGGATGAAGGTGTGGAGAGGGATGAGGGGGTTTTCTAAATTCTTGTTGAGGGGAAAGGGGGAGGGGGAAAGAGGTTTATGGAGGAATTCAGAGAATAGGTAGGTAGGTTTCTTCTTGTTACTTTGTTGAAAAAATGGGGGTTTGGTCTTGTGGTTTTTATGGGGGGGAAGGG